TTTCTGTTATTTTATGCCCCTGTAAAATATTTAAAAACTAACAGTGCTCCTACATACATTGCCAAACCTTTCCAAGAATTTTTCTAACAGTTTGCTATAACTCACATCACAGGCATTCCATATAACTCTCAGTCAATCTTTTGTGGAAAAAACTAGTGGACAACTTAAATGTTATTTAAAAATAAAGGAGGGGAGTAGGGCAGAATGACTACTCCATAATATTTTATCTTCTCTTCTATACACTATATAAATTGAGAGAAAATATAAAATTTCCCTCAAATTTGGGCAAGGATGGCCTTACTGTTGCAGAACATTTTTGGACCCCTCCAAAACAATTCAGGCTCAGGGGTCTTTGGAGAGATGCTATGCCTGGTTAATTGAATGGTCCAGCTCCAGTAATTCACTGGAGCCAAGGCTGCTGTGTTGGTGATGTTTCCTCAAGCTTCTGAAAAGCCAGTATGGAAACCTGACTTACTCACTCTATGGAAAATGGACAAAGAGGCTCCAACGTGTCTACAGAGGCTACACATGAAAAAAAGATATTGGAATGATAGGGTTGTCATACCAAAAGAACAGAATGTTCCTACAAGAATTGACTCACATGAAGGGATTAGTGACTGAGAGAAAAGAATTCATTAACTCTCAGGGGAAGGGTAGACTACAAAATTGCTACTTTTGCTATCTTGTCTCTGGAATGCACATCTTACTGCTGAGACGTACTGGGCTTATGTACCTCATCCTCCTGCGCTTCCTTTTGTTAACTAGGAAGAAAATAACATCCCTCTTTATGTCCATGACCCTGACATCTTGGGTGTCCCCACTGCTCATCATATTGTTCCCCAAGCAAAAATGGTCACATGACAATTTAAGTATTGATGTTCAAGCCTTGCATGATAAAATATTAACTATTCAACATTCAAAGTTAGATAAACTACCCTCCTCCAAAGCTCTTATTTCCACCTTATTGAAGACATTGCAGACATGTTATGGGAATTCCCACACAATTAAAAGCTGATGGGGGAGGGGGCTGGAGAGATGGCTCCGCAGTTAAGAGCACTGGCTGGTCTTCTGGAGGTCCTGAGTTCAATTCCCAGCAACCACCTGGTAGCTCACAACCATCTATAGTAGAATCTGATGTCCTCTGCAGGCATAAAGTTGTGCATGCAGGTAGAGCATTCATATACATAAAGTAAATAAATAAAACTGATACTGGTCCAGCTTTTTCTAGTAGGAATTTTAAAGAATTCTGTTATGAATAACAAATTCAACACATCACTGGAATTCCTTATGAGAAGAAACGTTTAAAAAAAAAAAACGAAAAGGGAGGAAAAATACTCCTGGAGATGCTCTTGCTATGACCTTGCTTTAATTTTTAAACATTTGCCCCAGTGGGAATGTATTCCTCAAGCTTCCCACCATTTTCAGGATGCTCCGCCCTACATGCAGCCATTGTCCTATCCCATACAGTATAAAGAACTAGACCACCGAGTACCAGGATGAAAATTTTCAGGTATTTTCTAAGCAGTTGCCTGGAACTTCTGGACAATAAATAGCAAAATGGGTTGCTGATGCCTTGAGGAATGGATCCTCTTTCCTGATGGCAAAGTATTATACACAGTGCTCTTGCATCTAGCATTGCACTTATCATGTGTCTTTTATGATTTTTTTAGAATGTAGATGACTCCAAACAAGAGTAAATACCCTAAGATTTAAAAAAATAAGGAAGGGAGAGATGTCAGAACATGGTCAAAAGGATGATGTATGGTGGACAATGTCTTGGGGAACTGAGAGAAGCTCCAGGAAAACAGACAGAGAGCTTTTTACCCCAGGTGCATTGATGGGTGATGTCACTCTGTATGCTGTGAATGTGCTGCTCTGATTGGTTGATAAATAAAACACTGATTGGCCAGTAGCCAGGCAGGAAGTATAGGTGGGATAAGCAGACAAGGGGAATTCTGGGAAGAGGAAGGCTGAGTGAGGAGACACCAGCCTGCCATCTAGGGAGCAGCACGTAATAGTACACAGGTAAAGCCATGGAACACGTGGCAACATACAGATGAACAGAAACGGGCTGAGTTTATGTGTAAGAGCTAGACAGCAGTAAGGCTGAGCTAACGGCCGAGCAGTTATAAATAATACTAAGCCTCTGTGTGATTATTTTATAAAAGGCTGTGGGACTATGGGTAAAAGATTTGTCCTGACCGTGGGCCAGGCAGGACACAGGAAATCTTCCAGCTACAGTGCATTTTGCTCCCAGGCTTGTACTTGGATGTGATTTTGTGCCTCCTGTGACAAACATTTACACTCAATATATAAGACACATTGATCTTGTTGGATGTCAGGACACAGCTACAGACCCAATCTATGCATGGCACCCTGAGTCTGGATACGGCCTCTGCCTTCCCTTTGTGCTTCCCCAGATACAATCTACAGTGCCTGTCTGGCAATTGTGGTTAAATTGGTCTGTCCTGAGAAAGTTCTGGGAAAAGGCTGCTCTGTTAATATTTAGTGCTTACTGGTGTTTATTTACAGGTTTTTCTGGTCCTGTACTTCTGATCGTGTTTTTCTGAACTCAAACAACCTTCCTTATATCACTGCTTTCTTTTTTACACCTGTGTATAAAAGTACACTGAGCTGGGCATAGTGCACACACCTTTAATCCCAGCACTCGGGAAGCAGAGGCAGAGGCAGGCAGATCTCTGTGAGTTCACGGCCAGCTTGGTCTACAAAGAGAGTTCTAGGACAGCCAGTGCTACACAGAAAAACCCTGTCTTGAAACAAACAAACAAACAAAAAAGAACACTGAAGCTGAAGTAAGGTTGTCTACAACATTAGACTATAATCTGCCTCATTCTTTCAGGTCCTCAGATCCCAGGTCCAGCAGACAAGATCTGCACAGGTGAACAAAAGTTGACAATACCTTTCATGCATAGTGTATAATCTTTAGTATGGCACTAACAACTGTTTTAGCTAATGACCTACTCTTGGACCTTTTGATCATTTATCTTACAAAACTTCCACACTAACCATTGCAAAACAAATTTCTGGAAGTACATTTTTGAAGCAAGCCTGCATTTTTACCTCAGTTGATCTGTACGCAGATCTCTATCCTTTTGATAGCAGACGTCACAGCCACTGGAAGAAGCCAAAACTCATAGTGGGGTGATGTGACCTAGGAGAAAGACATCTTGTCCAAAGAGAAAAAATAGCCCCAGGGTCAAACTGTTCTGTTCCCAGGCTCAGTGAACTGCAAGGAAGGTGCAATGGCAGGAAGGACATAACACCTGTTCTAGTCACTCAAACTGGGTCACACCTGAAACTATATCTATTATTTTAAATGAGACTCAGCTAACTGCTCTTCATTGGCCCTTGTAACCTGCCAGCTTGCTCCAGCCTCCCCAGCAACAAAAGCTGGATAAAAGAATGCAGAGCGAGCGCTTCAGTCAGTGCACATTCCTCCTGAGCAGAATGCTGCCTTGACCATAATCAAGTTTGAGCCTCACCATCAGAGGGGACTTAGGATTCTCCTTCTGGTGCTGAGTGATGACGATCTCAGGCTATCACAGGGAAGGGAGTTGAGGCAAGTCTGGTGACTAAGGAGTGAAAAATAGACTATTTTTTAGTGGCAAATCTGAGTTCACAGACAGTGTGACTCAAAGGGGAATTAGAAATAACACATTCCTGGGGGCTGGAGAGATGGCTCAGAGGTTAAGAACACTGCTTGCTCTTCCAAAGGTCCTGAGTTCAATTCCCAGCAACCACATGGTGGCTCACAACCATCTGTAATGAGATCTGGTGCCCTCTTCTGGCCTGCAGGGATACGTGCAGACAGAACACTGTATATGTAATAAATAAATAAATCTTTAAAAAAAAAAAAAAAAAAAAAAAAAAAAAAAAAAAAAAGAAATAACACATTCCAAAGCAGCAATTGGCTCACTGCTAAGCCAAGCACACCATTCTACAGAGACCACGGTAAAGGGAACAGTGCTGTCTCGGGGTTTCTATCAATCTCTTTAAAATTAGATGTACTATTTCACCTAAAACTTTACCATTTGCAATACATTTTCATTATGACATTCCATAAACACAATACTTGAATGGCACTACCTTTATACGTTAGCTTTTTTTTTTTTTTTTTTGGTTTTTCGAGACAGGGTTTCTCTGTGTAGCTTTGCGCCTTTCCTGGAACTCACTTGGTAGCCCAGGCTGGCCTCGAACTCACAGAGATCTGCCTAGCTCTGCCTCCCGAGTGCTGGGATTAAAGGCGTGCGCCACCACCGCCCGGCTACGTTAGCTTTTTAATATCTACGCCACCACCAAAAATGTAGACATTTTTCTTCTCAGTTTCCAGATGATGAAATGGAAACTTCCAGAAAATAATGTGATTTGCTCCTGATTAACAAAGATGATGAGACTTAGAAATAAGAGCTAATACAGATGTTTGTGACGTTAAACACCATGTTGTTTAGTTTTGTTTTGATTTTGTTGTTGCTGATTTTTTGAGACAAAGTCTTACTTTGTAGTCTGAGGTGGCCTTAAACTAGCACACAATTTCTAACTGCTGTGCTTAGACTTCAATGAGTATTACTACCTTGTAACGCTCCTGCTCTGTTTAACCATAAGGAAACTGAAGGAAAACAAAAACAAAAAACTGGAGGTACTGCTTATGAACAGGCTCACTTACATTCTTGAGGAAAAACTGGAAGTAACTACAAAATTCCATTTATTTGATGTGGGTAAAGTAAATATTGACACTAGGCCTTACATCTGATGACATTAGTCTGGCGGGTGAGTCACATTTTAACAATGACCATATTAAAAGGAGAAAAGGTACAACAGTAAGTTAGGTAAAACTTGGGAGGAAACTGCTCTGGTTTCTTTTAAACCCTGACAAACATCTCACATATGCTTAACACCAAGTCACTTCAAGCAAAGGCTAAGGACACCCGAACGGTAGAGTCAGCACTAAGAACTCCAATGATATACAACTCAAACGTGCATAGGGAGATTAAAGTTATTTTATTAAATCATGCACATCACGTGTGTTAGTGCAAATAGTTTAATCTGTACTCCAGAAATTCTATTGTACGTTTTATCTTTACAAAATAGATTTCAAACAATTATTTACTTTAAAAAAGGTAATTTTGAAGTTATGCATTTCGGAACAGTATTTGCAATAACTATATACAAGAGGTACTGGGTACCACTGGCATATCAGCATTCTGTGGTGGAGTGGCTCCTGCAACAGAGAATGGCAAAATGAACTATATGACAGCGTTTTCTACAAGTCATTTGTGGCTAATTCCTCCAGAAATCTAGTGATTCTCCTGACAACAATCCCAAAGAGCTTAAAATTCAACTTTTAAAGTAAAAACAATGATGCCAAACATCACAAGGCAAATGATATCCTAAACTCCTATCTCAATATCTGGCTAGATCCGGGTACTCTCAGAGAACATTCAAGCCAATTCACCAACGTTCCCTCTCAGTCTTCACTGACTGAAGAAACTTGAACTATGTGATACTTTAGGATACTGACATCACTATGGTGCTGCACAAAACCATAGCTAAACTTTAACCTCTGTGTTTTAAATGTATAATGTCAAGCAGTGTTTAGGTGTGTCACTGTGCATGGAACACTACCAATCTTGGGAATAGTGCTACTAATTAACAGGCTGTCCCAATTAACAATAAAAAGAAATGACCATTTGTTTACCCAAGCAAGAAATCTTGGTAGGTAACATCAGTTCACTTTGAATGTGAATTAGCTCCATATCATAACCAAATTAAGTCAATAAAAGCTTATCTAAACAGATATAATTCTTCCTTCAATTAAACATGCTTGGAGGAACAGATGACAGAAAAAAAAAATCATGCTTTCTAAACTGCTGTATATGAGAAGATAACTTGGCTTTTAAAGAAAACATTTCTTAAATACATGAGGTTTAGTAAGTTACATTCCAATTCACTCAACAGTTTGGTTGATTGCACTGAAATTATGCAATTATGTTTTTGCTCCCAGAAATATTTCAGTTTGCTCAAGAAAATACAATCTCTCATGAAAGTTTTTCTAAGCTGATGTCCTTCACATCTTCAAGTCACATTAAGGCTGAACAAACATGTATATATTCTCCCAATTATCATTATAACAGAATATTTTCCAAATGTGTTTTTCCTTTAAAAAAAAAAAACCCACACAAATAATTGTCTAAGTCTTGTTCCCAATAGCTCAGTGGTTTTATAACAAGTAAAAATGGCGTAAATATGTAAAAAAAATATATATATATGTGTGTGTATATATTCAAACTGATAGGCACTGAGCACACAGGGCCTCTCTTCCCATGTATGTATTGGTTGTTCGGTTTGAGTAGTTATTGAATCAGAAAAATGAATTATGTGGCCATCAGAATTCAGAGTAAAATATCTATAAATTTATGGTATAAATAATTTGGTGCACTAAGAAGCCTACTTTAGGCCACCATAATATTCAGAATCTCAACATACTAATTTAAAAATTACATGAAAAACCGAATAAATTCACAACTTTATATCCTCTCTATAGACAGATATATTTTTATATAAGTTAAAGCAATGACCCTCCAGCTCTTTCTTGCACTTTGCTGTTTTAAGAGGTAAAAAGGAAGAAAATGGTTCTGCTTGTCCCCAGCCTGAGTGATGCCAGCTTCTAGAGGGAGGGCGGTGTACACACTCAAGACACTGTCACGGAGAAGCTCTGGCCAGACCTGGCACATACAGCACGATGGCTGTCACCGCAACCAGGGCGGCCAGCATGGGCATCCAGGGCCAGGGTTTCTGTGTGGAAAGAAACCGAGAGTCAATATCACATTCTCCCCGTCTCTTTTCATATATATTTAACCCCTTGGTGAACTGAGTCCCATGGATAAAAGACCATCAGAAAACTCTGCGCTTGCATTAATAAGGTAAGTGTAGAAAGAAAGGAAATGAGGGAGAACCACACCAGTGGGACCATTATGTGAAGCCTGAACAGCCCAGGAAAGTTCTGGACAGCTTCCAAGTTTGTTACTTCTAAATACAGTTCTGGGCTGTGCCTGCCACACACATTTACTGTGTGCCTGCAGTACAATTCTGCTGAACAGTTTATGAAAACCAGAGTTCTAAGATGGGACAGATGAATGGTGCCCGCTTGATCCAAAAAAGACACAAATCAGATGAGGTTTAGGACAGTGGCACTAAGGCCCTGTCCATAGGATTCCTCTGATAAGCATACTCTATTATCAGCTAAAGGCAAAGCACAGATGGGCTTCCCAGTCAGCTTTCAGAGGATTTATAAAATCCATTTACTTTGGTTGCTACCTTTATTCTTACTGGTATTCTGACAGTATTCTTGAGAAATATTCTTAATTTGCAGATCAAAGCTCAAAAGGTTGTTACAGAGCTTGCTTAAATCACACATGTAAATTCTCACTGCAGTTGAAACTGTGAGCCAGTGGTTCATTAGACTAGTCTCACTTTCTTTCGTCTTCACAGCAAACAGGCAAAGGATTAAAGGGAAAAAACTCTACACCATGGATGGGAAGGAAGAAAGAAAGGGTAACACAGCTGGCTAAAAGTTCAAAGATGCAAACTCTTCATTTCTCATTCAAATCTGATTGAACATAACTGGGACGTGGGTGGCGCTATTGCAGAAACTCACTGCTTACTCCAGTTTGCTAGAGATAAAGACTCAGTTAAAGGAAGCATATTAACGAGAGGTTAACGTAGGGTTAATTAATGTTAGCATTACTACAAAAGAAACAAGACATAATGTTATGTGATTAGTGGATTGTTCATTAATATGACACAAATACACAGCATACTAAATGAAGGGTTTGCGTCAGGTAATAACATATCTGTGTGGTTTTGCCATGCACTCTATTACAAATATGGCACGAACAGGTGACAGTGACAAACAGACAAGGACTCAACAGTAGTGCTTGTACCTTTCTCTACCACAATGGACCGAAACACCAAAACAGGAAAGCCAGGAATAGGCCGATGAATACGGCTGGGACAGGTTGTAATATGGTGGGCTGAAGAAGGGAAGGGATATTAAAATCATTTTATGCTATGAAAACAATCAGATAAGATGATTTAGACCCCAGGGGGTGGTTGGAGAAGAAGAAGAGGAAGACTGAAGTAACAGAAGTACACCATTCAGGTTTTGCACCAATTCAAACATTTTAAAGACATCTAACACAATCCAGAATGATGGGCTGGGACACGTATGCTAAGAAATGACTACTTCAAAAGGAGCAGCTGGAGGCAAGAGTCAATGTACTTGTCCACAAATATTCTAATGAAATGTGACAAGTTCAGACAGAGCACCGATGTCAGTTTATCAAGCAATGCTCTGTTTGACAATATATTATTTTTGTTTCACATCTGAAGTCCACTAGTTAATAGATATGTTTCCATGGCAATGGATAGGGTATATTTTATTCTTTCATTGAAACCCATTTTCCTTCCAACCAAAATTCTTTCACTTTTGAGATGGTATTGCTTTAAAGCTTAAAAATACATGTTCTGTGATAATGTGAACCCGATGGGTCAAGAGGTGTGGCACAATGTATGATAAATGGGTAGCCAAAGCCAAAGAATACTTTCCTTTATTCTAACCATATCTGATTTTTTTTAAGGGGAAAGGAATTACTTGGAAATATAAGCCCATATGGTGAAAAAGGTAAATTCATCCTGAAGGTGAATAGTTTTATATGACTATAAATAGTAAGAGCACAGGAGGGGTCATTCTGATCATGCAAGATGTCTTTGTAGGTTAATTTAGCAGGAAGTGGACTGAAATTCTATAATCAGGTATGAATTAACACAAAAGAAAAGATATCAAATCATTATGATCTGATTTTAGAAGATTTCTATATTCTATGCATTAAAAAAATAAATGTAATCCACTTTTCTTTAGCATTAAGTCTTCAATCCTTCCATTTCTAAAGGGCTCCTACCTAACCTGCAATCTTTTATTGTCTAAAATCTGTAACTTTAGTAAGCAAAGGACAGCTGGACACAACTCGTGAGCATTCTGTGAAAACTGCATAACTGGATGGCCATGCAACATCGTTCATCTGTGCTTGTGCTGCAAGGTGAGCGGCCACAGGAAGCATGTGGCTCACGTCCACTGCAGTGTCCAAGCTGTGACAGAGCACAACCAACCACACTGAACAGCCATCAGTTAGGGCCCACAAAGGCAATGTTCACCACAACAAACAACACGACATGTATTTAGTATAACTTCGCCTTAAAGACCTTTCTTCCCAAGTGAGAAACAAGTGTTGTCAAACTAAATTTACAGTCGAATGTTTTTCCCATCTCTGTGCCCGTCGGTCCCCATCTCTCTCTCAAACACACATTAGAAAGCGCTATGTCCATTTACCGAATTCTGAGAGATGCCAAATAAGCAGGAAGCTTTTAGGAATGTACATTACCAGTACAGAAACGAAAACTGTACTCAAGCCCTGCTTTCTGAAACCACCTAAGGCTAAGGACCAGTGTGTACCACGTCTCCTCGGGTGGCACCGGCTTCATTTCCCAGTAGGAAAGAAACAAAAGGCGACTGGTGACCTAGAGACAAAATTTCAGACTAAACTGGGCAAACCAGATAGTTCTTCCAAGCTGTCTTACGGATAGCTGTTTTCCACCAGGCAGGCCTCAAGCTCTTCTGCAGGTGTAAGTCAAAGGGGCAAATTCTTATTTAAAAAGAAGGAAAGAAATCCCACGGCACAGAAGTTCTACCACAGCTATTCATCATGAACAGCTCCTTTCTCCCGTGCCCAGGCTGTTAGATTCTGAAAACCATTCTCAAGCCTCCGACATCCCGCTCAATGGAAGCTGAGCTGAGCTGGTAAACACTTACATTAGCTCCTTTCTCTCGCAGCAGCTTCAGGGTGTCTTTACACTGTTTGAGCTCATCTGTGATTGATTGCTTTTCCTGCTCAGTCACTTCAAACTTCAACTTCAGTTCTGAGAGTACAGTCTGTGTCTTTTCATACTAAAGGTAAAGAAAAAAAGAGTGTGCGGGCTAGACTTAAAATGGGTATGAAGTTATGGTTCTAGTCAGGTATATAACAGGCCCTGCTTAATAATGTTGAACACCAAAGTCAAGCCTTTCTGTATCAAGAAAGATAAGTCCCTGGCACTCATAGTAAGAAATCTTTAATGCTGGCTTAATCCTATGTAATGATTTTTCTTGCGCTGGTGTTAAAATCAAAGAACAGAACATACCGTGTTGTCATCTGTTTATAATATAAAGGGTCACTTCTTCCATCAAGTGAGAAGAGGGGAAATTGGAAATTTTTCCTTTGAGCAAAAGACAAACAGGTAGAGACAAATCCTAATTAAAAGGCAGAGTTAGGTCTAAATGTATTTCCTGGTAATTAAAAGGAAGCCATGTTAGCCAAGTTATTTACTCTTGAAATAAAAAGCATTAACTTTCACTAAGTCTTCTATTACTCAGCACTAGTGGATATCATCAGTGCCCTATCAGTGAGTTTCCTAGACAAATAAGGCAGAGAAATGATTCTGACATACTCACCACAGAGACTGGGGCATCTGACACTTAAAGTCCATCAGCACCAATTTAAAAGACTTTTTAAAATCTGTTTCTGATAGAAAAATTTCCATAAAGGAACCAGCCATGTTCTACTCTTGAAAACCGTGTGTGTGTGTGTGTGTGTGTGTGTGTGTGTGTGTGTGTGTGTGTGTGTAATATATAGACATAATATGAATATATATAAATAACTTATGACTTCCACACAAACTACCCCTTGAAGACAGGTCAAACCAATGTGATATAAAATGTGGCTTGATCTCTTAATGGTCCCAAGAAGCTGGAATTCTAGACTGGTTCCATTTCTAGATGCTGCAGCTTACTGAAGACGAGGTTCCCAAAGAGACACTGTTCTGCTGCTGGCATGCCTCTGTCTCCACTTCTGCTGCCCCATTCTGCCATCTCTGAGTGTTTCAGAAGGAAGACAGGAAGACAAGGACTGAATAGAAAACCAATATCCCATGAGTGTGGTCTATCAGAAAGGCTCTTCCTCTTGTTCTCAGCACAGCTTAAGAAAATGGAAGGTTTGCAGTTCTTCTCTACCTAAACAAAGGACACCTTTATAATAATGGTCCTGAAAAATGCAAGCACTTTGGAGTGGAGAGAACCTCCTCAATACTCAATAAAGACAAGGTCTAAGAAAGATGAAAATGTGTAAAGACATTAGGAGAGAAGTGGGCAGGGAAGAGGTCAGGGTTAGAGGTCAGAGGTTACCAGGAAGGAGAAGGAAGCTATGAAAGAAATGATTTGTTTGTTACTTAAGAACATTCCCTGAACAGCCCTGGGAAATACACCAGAAAATGAACCAAAGACTAAAATTCATGGATTTGTTTGTGACAGCTTTTTTCGGGTTGATGTGAGGGTCTGTGAACTCTCCCAGAAGGCAGAAGGCTGCTGGGAGGCTGCCAAGGAAAAGCCAGTGATTCTAGAGTAGCTTTTGCACCTTAGAACGCCATCGGTTCTCAGTGATCATCCAACAGTTCCCAACTGCTAAAAGAGGACAAGTCAAAAGTGCTTTGTCAACCAAACTTTCCCTCTCCTTCCCCTTTCCACCATGTCTACACCATACTGCCCTCTACATCAGGACACTTCATCATCTCTCCATTTCAGGAGTGTGAAGCATGGCACAAGAGAGCAGCACAGTCACAGGGTACTGCTGTTTAGCTCAAGCAGGGGAGTGCATGGGGAGGACTCTGGCCCTACAGGAAGACAGGGGAGGCAAGCACCAACCCTGAGTCAGTCTTTTCAGGGAGATTAGATGTTCAATGTTTTATGTATTCTCTGGTTGGCTGGTTGGTTTCTTGGAGACAGAGTCTATGTAGCCCAATTGGCACCAACTTGAGACCTATCTCTCTCAGCTTCCTAAGTATGCAGATTGCAAGTGTATGCCACACACTGGTTGAACTCTTGGATCATAGATATTCTCATTAAATTAAAATACATAGATGCTTTATAAAATCAAATATAAAGATGATATACAATTCTTTTACTATTGAGAATTAATTATTTCTCACACTTTTTCTTTGGAGTTATTTATATAAAAATTATCATAGATAAAGCTTTAACCAGCAGAACAAAGGTCACATTCTGCAGCCTTAGCTTTACACCTTGCTTGGATATCACTTCTGTTCCCTCTTGCTTTATAACTTTGAAGTAACCAGTGAGTTTGGTCTCAAGAGAGAAATACCACATAATATTACCAATACCTGTGGCTCTTCTTCACAAAAAAATAACAATAATAATAATAATAATAATAATAATAATAATATCTGGGGTTGCTCAACTTACAATAGTTTAACCTCTTACAGTACTGAAGACACACAATCAGGGTTTTTGAGCACATTAAGCATGATTCCATGAGAGAAAGAAGAGCAAAGGGAAATGTTGAAAAGAAGTAAATATGCATTACTAAAAAGTAATAATGTATTTGTAGTGTATTACACAGAGATAAAAACCTCATTAAAACTTTTACTTACAGACTAGTATCCAATATGTTGACAGAAGGACAAACAGAGCAATTCACATTACAAAGGAATATGATGACTATACATCATTTCACAATGAAAAACAGTGAACAAGAAAATAGGAAAGAACATACTAACAAGCTCAGACATATTTCCAAATATGCTGCATTTAATGCAATCCAGAGACCAGCAACACTTTAGATGCTGTGACAACATGCCACGCCATTTGTGGAAACAGTTAAAGCACTTGGCACTGATCATTCAGGGACTGAAAGCAGGCAAACAAATAATGCAACAAATGGCTAGCATATTCATTAATAACATACAACAGAATCATCTTCCCACCACAAATTCTTCCCAACTATTGAAAGAATTATGGCACATGGACAGGAAGGGCACAAAGTGCTTACAGTATTAAATATTAGGATATTTACTTTGGCACAAAATTTGTGTTTCAACCAAATGAGGATGTTTCTAAAATACACATCCTTAAGCAGGTAAAGCAGAACATTTCAAAGTCAATGTGTCTACATGAATATTAAAACTGTTGCCATTTTTTTTTCCTTTAGAAACAAGCACAAAGACAGAAGAACAATCATTTCCAAATTCAGGATACTCCAGGCAAAGTGCAAAGAGAAACTTGCATTACTCTTATTTCCTAAAAACAACTTCCAGAAAATTCCTTTGTAAAGACAAAGCGCTGTCTTCTACTTCCTTCTATCGTATGAAGAATCTTGCCTGTAAGCAAGTTTACGGCTAGTACTTCCTGATGAGCAGACAGGCTTTATGAACCTGCATCCTTAGCTGACAGGAGTCAGTGCAGGAAGGCCAGCAGGAGTGAACACAACTTTTACTGCCCTGTTGTCAGCTTTAAATTGCATCTATCCTGTTCAGAAAGACCTGGGGTGAGTCCTTTCTGAAGTCAACCTCTCACCATCCTTCACATGATTATTTCAAAAGCTAATGAAATTAAGGTATAAGCAGAATCACATGGAAACTTAAGTGTGTATATTTGTGAAGATAAAAAGAAAGTATAGGGGGAAATACAGTTCCACAGAACAGGCACTTGGCTGCCTGTATATAGGTGAATTTTAAGTTTTTCTGACATAGATCTCAAGCAGCTTAAGCTATCCTCAAACCTGCTATGTAGCTGAGGCTGACCTTGAACTCCTGATTCTCCTGCTCCACCTAAGTGCTGGGATTGTAGGTGTACATCACCTTGCCCATCTGTATATACATTTTACTTTGGTGTTTTGAGATAGGGTTCATTCTATCACCCAGTAAAGCCTTGAACTCACTGCAATCCTCCTGCCTCAGCCTCCCTGGTGCTGGAATGACAAGCATGAGCCACCACAGCAGGGTAAGTGACTTTTTAGCCACTTTCCCAGGAGCATATAGCTCCAGCACTACAGTGTTGCCCTGGTTTGTAATTTGCCTTCCGAAAGAATGCTTCATTTCACATGACACACTCTTTGATAGTTAAACAGACCAAGCAATCTGCTACAAAGAGTCTCTCATGTCAGTCAACTGTTAGAGAAAAATTAAGAACTAGCTCTTAGGTCTGTGTGTTTGGAAGCAAGCACTTGATAAATTCTCTTGATATGGACGAACAGCTAGTAATTACCAGGCTGGGATGTTCCAAGTGTCAAGTGTCAGGTAATATGCATTCTGCTTTTCTTTATTTCTAAGTGGCATGGATATCTGATTTGCCTTTGGCTTTAAGTCCAACCATAATTGGGCTGAGTATGTCTTTTCGCTTTACCTCTTTCTGAACATCCTTTGCTTGGTTTTCAGCCTTACTGAGAAGAGTTTTTAAGTCAGCTGAGTCACGAAGATGTTGCTCTTTCAAGGATCCCACTTGGTTCTCGAGCTCTTTCCTGGTCATCTGGAGGATGCTGAGGTCACTTGTGAGCTCCAAACTCTGCTTCTGAGAACTGCAATATAAACATGGACACTCATTCGCAGCAGACCCTGGACACAAAGAAAGCCCAGGATCCTCAGCATTTCACTAGGTGAGAGGGAGTGAATTTCACAGCAGAGAAAAAGGTATAAAAAAGTAAGACACACTCAGTAAGGAAAAGGCATTAAAGCACTTCCAAAAATCCCTTCAAGTTTAAAGCTATATCCTTTCAAATGTACATCAAAGTAGAAATTTTATAAATAGAAGGAAATGACTAATTGTATTTTGGGGTTTTCTTTGCTTTTGTTTTGTTTTCTTGTTTTGAGATAGGGTAATACTATGTAGCTTTGGCTGGCCTGGACCTTCCTTTGTAGACCAGGCAGGCCTTGAACTCGAAGAGATCTGCCTGCCTTTGCCTGCCAAATGCTGGTATTAAATATAGCACCCCCATGCTGGTCCTAATTATATACTTTAGTATATCAAATTATCTTTACTAATTATATCATAATACATTGAAATGCATATTTCAACTATGTTACAAGATTAAGTACTTGAAAAGCAAATGGGTCAGAAACCTGAAGCCTGGGCATCACTACTGACTCAGGCAAAGACAAACCTGCTCAAATGAAAGCCGCAATCACACAAGCAAGCATGGCAAGGAACTAGACCGGGAGTGGAGCTTGGCCTTGGAACACTGAACTGTGCAATATGGAGCTGTCACTTGACTGCTACACCTTACTCTCTGAATAAGCACAACTTGAGCTCTTAGATGTGTACAAGCTCTATGCTGCAAATATCAAGGGATGTCTCAGGGTCCTCTTGTGTCAAACATTCACCTCTGTGCTCACTGTTTTATGTCATCTTGACACAATCTAGAATCATCTGGGAGGAGGGAGCCTCAGTTGAAAATTGCCAGACTGGCTTGTGAGCAAGTTTGTGGGGTATTTTCTTGACTGATGATGGATGGAGGAGGGCTCAGTCCAGTGTGAGTGGAGCCACCCCTGGGCAAGTAGTCCTGGGTTGTACAAGAAAGCAGGTGACTAAGCCATGAGGAGTAAGCCAATAAACATCGAACCTCCATGGCCCCTGCTTCAGGTCCTTTCTCCAGGTTCCTGCCCTGACTTCCTTCAGTGATGGTCTGTGACCTGAGAGTTACAAGATACATTAAACCCTTTCTTCCCCAAGTTGCTTTGGGCATGATGTTTTATCACAGCAACAGAAGCCCTACCTAAGACAACATCTAAAGCTATTCTCCAGCTTTAATTGCATGATTATTTTTATAATTTGCTATTAAAAATAATCTACACATGAGGAAAGTAACTTGATATGAATGAACATCAATGTCTTTTTCAGAAACTGAGCAGAGCATTTGGTAGAGCATGTGGTAGAGCTCTAGTGGCTAACATGACCAAGACTCTGGGCTCAATCTCCAGTACAAAAAATAATTCCTTGTTCAATTTTTGATAACAGTGAAAAAAAAAGACTTATCTAGCATAGAGAAAAATCAGCTCCTAGAAGTAGTTAAAAGAATGTAAGATTTTTTTTTAAGATTTATTTATTTATTATGTATACAGTGTTCTGTCTGCATGTACATCTGCAGGCCAGAAGATGACACCAGATCTCATTACAGATGGTTGTGAGCCATCATGTGATTACTGGGAATTGAACTCAGGACCTCTAGAAGAGCAGCCAGTGTTCTTAACCGCTGAGTCATCTCTTCAGGTTGGAGAGGTGCTCAGATGGCACTACTTGCTCTTCCAGAGGACCTGTGTTTGATTCTTTGCATCCACATTACAGTTCATAACCATTTGTAACTCCAGGTCCAGGGGATATAATGTTGTCCTCTTCCGGCTTCTGCAGGCAATGCATGTACATGGAGTACATGTACACATGCAATAAAACACCCACACATAACACATAAGATTTTCAAAGTGACAATGCTATGTCTTTCAGAATGGGACTTAATCAGACTCAATACTATAAATAAAGAACTACAGAAGATATATTCCATGCTGCTTACACAATGGGCAGATTCTTAAGGATGAATCTGATAGTATCAGGCCAATAAACATAAAGACTAAAGGGCCATTAAGACTCTGTGTAAAGAGAAGCCTAACAAATAAATTTAGAGTAGTCAGGCAGGAAGAAATAGAATTAATATCTCTTATGTAGTTTATGTGAGTGTAGAGAGATGACTTGAATAATGGTAAGTATTGATATAGTGTACCTTTCTAGAACCCATTGTTTTGTTTTGGTTTGGTTGTGATATGGGTGTCTCACAAGGGATTCTCCCTGCCTAAGCATCCCACACAGCTGGTTCTCCACGCAAGCAGAAAATACCCAACTGAAGTCTAACATTTGAAGCCATATGCTTCTACTCACATGAAATCTGTAAACATTATTTTGAACATTTAAGTAAAATTGACATAATTTAAAAAGAATAGTACTTTAACAGTCTGCTAGATTTCGTTAATCACATCTCAAAAATGAGAGATTAGGTGTCCCAAAAGCCGGCCACCCGGGACACAGGAAAACTTCCAGCTATATTTGGCGTACCAACACGGGGCTCTCAAATTTCGATAAGGCATAAAAGAGTTTAAAAAGGGCTTCTAAACACACAATAACAGAGCCAAAAACAGCTTTCTACTTCATGTCTCATGCGGGTCGAGATATAGAGACGCCAAGGTACAGAGATGCTGTGGTGTGTGGACTTGAGCAACCTGTATGGCAGGTTCACTGGCATATGGGCTTAAGTGCAGCATGGTGGATTCCTGCCACTGTACACAGTGGTGTCTATAAGCCATACAGCATGGTGTGTGGTGCATGGTGGATATAGCTTTTGCTAGTACAGACGGAAGGAAGTAAGGAAGGAGGGAGGGAGGGAGGAAGGGAAGGAGGGAGGGAGGAAGGAAGGAAGGAGAAGGAAAGAAAGAGAAGGAAAGAAAGAAAAGGAAGGAAAGAAAGAAAGAAAGAAAAAGGGAAGGAAGGAAGGAAGGAAGGAAGGAAGGAAGGAAGGAAGGAAGGAAAAGAAATAGGGAAGGAAGGGAGAGGAAGAAAGAAAGAAAGAAAGAAAGAAAGAAAGAAAGAAAGAAGAAAAGAAGAAAGAAAGAAAGAAAGAAAGAAAGAAAGAAGAAAGAAGAAGAAAGAAAGAAAGAAAGAAGAAAAGAAAGAAAGAAAGAAAGAAAGAAAGAAAGAAAGAAAGAAAGAAAGAAAGAAAGAACAAGAAAGAGAGAGAAGGAAGGAAGGAAGGAAGGAAGGAAGGAAGGAAGGAAGGAAGGAAGGAAAGAGAGAGAGAGAGAGAGAGAAAGAAAGAAAGAAAGAAAGAAAGAAAGAAAGAAAGAAAGAAAGAAAGAAAGAAAGAAAGAAAGAAAGAAAGAAAGAAAGAAAGAAAGAAAGAAAGAGAAAGCTACATGGTGCTGGATGGAAGCACAGACCCACTGCTTCAGAGAGTCAGCAATGAACATGGTTTCCCCAGAGCTGGTGGAAAACTTAGTTCCTCCATGTTGGGAAGCTGAGGTGGGCGGAGCCAGCAGCCAAAGCTGCCATTTCAGTCCTAGTCATGCTGCAGTTTAAACAATACATTCACAATAAGACAGATTCAGATAAGATAAACCTCTAAATGATTTACATTATGTGTAAAAATATACATAGGCTTGGAAGAGAGAAGAAAAGGAATATAGACAGTTATATGAAGAAATAGAAAGTTTAAAAAAAATAAAGTCTTTAAAAAGAAAGCAAAAGTAATATAAAAAATAAGCCACATAAAGATAAAAATCATACAGAGAGTCTGGATTATATTGTCTTTGGGATTTTTAACTGCAGAAAGACATTTAATTATAAAGGCTGCTCAGTTAAACCAATATGTATATTTTGAAGGTATCTTGACTTCAAAATTTGGACCTAAGGATACGCTGCTTTGGAAAGGAGGCTCTGCTTTTGTTTCCACAGGAAACAAGAGCTATGGATTTGTTCCAGGTTAAGATGGATCAAATTTGATCAAGCCAGACATCCTGAACCTTAACAGATGGTACCTATCAACAAAGGTTATAGCCAGTCTTCCCAGGACTTTACCATTATTTAATTTTCTCAGGATCTCCATAAGACTACCAGCAGCCCCTATCAGCATGAAATAGCCTAGAAAACTATGCCCACCTTCCCAAAAACTGGATTATGGATGTTTGTCTGTCTTTGTTTAGGTTGTTGATTACAAATTATTATTGGTCATAGTCAATCTCTTTCTAAACGAAGAAAGGGGGATATGATATAGAAATATAGGCTATAGATATGATAGGATGAGAGGGTAGATTATTGAATCTACTTTTAAAGAGCAACAACTTGTTTAAAAATGTTTTACAATGCTATGGATTTTAGTTTATTGATACGAATTTAAAGTTAATTTTGTTATAGTGTATGTATATTTCTACTCTTGTTTAAAGTATTATGTTTATGTAACTCATTTAAATTGTAATGGATAATTCAAGAAATACACATTAATAATTAGTCATTTATAATATTCAAACTTATAGTCATGTTAGTTAAGTTTTCTAGGTATACATAGATATATTTCAATTAGGTAGGTAATCTTCAAACACTTCAAAGACCTACAGAATATGGCATTTAAAATGTTTTAAAAACTTAGACTTTTCTGGACAATGGAGATATATCTGCTCCTGGCAGCACCAATTTACTTCAAAGAGGAAGATGTTTATCAAAGACATTCCATATGGAGTTTATCTTCTTCTTGGCAAAAGTTAGCCATTTGGGCAACTGTTCTTGTCTGGACTGCTTGACAAAATGTTATATCAACTGGACATGCAGGACCCATGGAAAAACGACCACTAAATTTTGCCAAAATAAGGCAAGATGGTCCTTCAGGTTCTTGCTTCGCACAGGAGACTGCCAGACATTCTACAGGACACAGGGAAAAGTGACTGAGAAACTAGGCCTATAGTCTAAAGATTGATGCCCCGATGTTGCAGAGGAACTTTGGGTGATTGTCCAGGCAGCCAGCTGTCTCTGTCATTTCCAGACAGA